GCTGGTTTAGTAAATGCTTGATCATCTTGGTTTATATGTTTGGCTTCGGTACTTTTGTCACAAATAGGATCAATGTCAAACAACATAGCTGCGGATTTTACCTCTGAATCTGAAAACAAATCTATGGCTCCCAGTAAACTAGTATCGGTTAAGTCACATTTATCTTCAACAACTGTTTTAATTATTATTGGAATTAGGCCTTCATCTGGCTCTTCGAGATTTGGCACGTTTACTGGCGGTGTCAAGATTGTAGTAATAGGTTTTTCTTCATTGCAATATAGCGGCATTAAATTTTGAAATATTTGTTTTTCTGGTTCACTGCTTTTAGAAGGCTCTGTCACAGATGATGCATCCTTAATATTTTCAATGTTCTGGAAATCTGAACTTTCGTGATTGATGTTGTGTTTTTGCGTTCCAATTTTCGTAACAACAGTTTGAATATTATGAACATTACCTGCAAGTTCAACTTGATTTTCATTTGCGAGGCACAGTATCTTTCTAGCTCGCTGCATTCTTAAACGAAGTTAGTAACTGAAAAAAAAAAACAGGATTTATACTTACTATTTTTTTGTATAACTCGTTTTTGTAAAATAAGAAAGTCAAATCCCAGTTTTCAGCATGTATAACGAAAGTTCAACGTCGCGTCATAGGTTGACTTTCTCGCTTTTTATTTGTAAACCAGACGAAATAAAGTTTTGACCTCTTAAATGTAGTTCGATTCTAGATCGATATTAATGGCGGCGATCGAACAGCTGATTTTTTCACTTTAGGTTATGACGTCTGACAGCTGCTAACAGTAAAGACATGCCCCAAAATCCTTATGTGATCATTATTATGACGCAACGTTGAACCTCCGTTATACTAACAGACTTTACATATTTACATAAAGTACACGTTTATTTTTCGCAATAAAAACCCATACCAAACCACTTACTTTACCAAAGTTAATAATCGAAATAACTTTAATAATGACTTTTGCGACCCAAAAAAGGTAAAGAACTTAATTTTCTAATTTATTTTCATAATAATAAGTGGTTACTTACCAGCAATATTTCTGATGGATAATTGTAACTTTTAAGTTACACAAACTAACAAATGAATGAATCTATCAAATGAATTCTAAATTACTGACTTATTTACTAAACACCCCCGAAATCGGATATGAAATTGTAGCTTAAAATGCCGTAACTACTTCGCGCGAATGCAGTTACGGTTTTTTAAGCTTGTAACGCGCTGTAAGGCTTTCTAAGCTACAAACGTCTCTAATAATGTATGTATGAATTGTATGATAGAAACTGGAAAGTTGTAGATACGGCAATATAAACAAAATTTGCTGGATACGGTTGTTTAAGATATGAAATCGAAAAATAACGTCATATTGTCAAAAACGTATGTGCATTTTGATAAACTTGCGATGCAGATACGTTTTTTTAACATACACCAGTCGATTCCGCATACCTAAAATACTCATAAAAGTGTGGTTTTAAATAAAATTTAAAAATGCAGATACGGCACTCTTTCTTACGACGGCAGAATACAGCCCATCATTTTAATGTTCAATTTAGGGTGGACAGAAATTTTCACCTGGCAACCCTGCTTTCTCTATACTTTTGCCCATGATACTATGAATAGCAAACAATATTTTAATTTAACAAATTTTATTTTAATACTTCATAGTATCATGCTTTTGTGCTTTAATTTTAAAAACTAGTTGTTTGAAGGTACAACCTCAACCTTATGTTGTACCTCAGACCAAAGAGTAATTATTTTATTTACTTATTTTTCAAGTACTTATTTGATTTATATTAAAATTGTAAATGCATATTATAAAACTGATTAAACAAAGGAACCTTCTTTATCCACAATTTCTTTATTTATAACGTTATATTTTACCCAAATATCGACTTGAAAAAAAAATGGTCCAAAGTACAACACTTTCCTCTAAACCTTTATAATATTAATGTCTGCAAGTGATTGAAAAATTAAGTACATGTTAAATAATAATTGTACTAAGATACATACCAACATATGACTTCTTCTTTATGATACTTAATAATAAATGTAATGTTGCAAAATTGTGCAACGCATCACCAAGAGATCTAAAGAGATCAAGATCTTCAAATGTGGAACACATATTTGATCTAAATTCAACAAAATAAATATATATGTATATAAAATAAAATACAAGACCACAATAATACAAGAAAAATATACACATCAACCGCACAATCCACGTGCTTTATACTGACGTACTAACTACCTGACCGTCCTGACCTGACTCTTTTGAATGAAAGTTTCGTTTCCAATTCCAAGTAAGATTCTTAAACTCGCTAAACTGGCGGACCAAACAGTTATATATCAAGTTAGATGAAAATTGAATGCAATATTTAGTTGCATTACTCGGGCTAAATAATAACACAACGTGCTGGGGTGTCTCCTAATGAGGTTTTTATATTTCTTTAAGAAGCTTTTATGTTCTGGCTTTATCGAAAAACTAATTATCATAGCGATAAGTAGTTTTCTTGGTAACTAATATTATAAAGAATACAAGAAATACATGGGTAATTTAGTCAATGCCGTAGTTAATAAATTACTTTTACAAATATATTTTTTATAGAGGATGCAGCTTTTCAGATTACTTAGGGGAGGGTGGGGTAGATTTGGACATTATTTTTCAGTAGGGAATATTTTCAAGATATTTTAATAATTTATGACAGATAATGTACATGTCAATAGTTGTATCTATTGTCTTTGAATATTTATCGACGAAACTACGAATAAATCCGTCAAACATGGGAAAAATACAAATTTTCTTTATCAGTGTATTTGTCCAATTGTACCCCACCGTGGTACAGATTTGTACAGCTATGGGGCACATTTGGATAAACATTTGTCTAAGCTTTATAAACAAAAAATAATATAATACACAAAGTACTTATGAACGATATTTATTGGTTAAACCATGAACATAGTTGACAAAGAAGTTATTTAATGTTATAAGGGAAAAATGATGTACTGAACTTTATGTAAGACGCTTGACGAGATGTTTCCTTGGTGTCTAAAGGTATAGGAAGTTTTGCCACAATATCGGCTCTGGATATAGTACTAATATCATTTTCAGTAGCATAATAAAAGCCACTGTTCAGTTTGTATCGTAAAAATTTGATTGTTAATTCCTCATTCACTAGTTCTTCTACACGGCCCACAAAGTGAATAACCTTTATCTTTGTTGCAAATTATACCAAAACGAAGTCGTCTACAAGAACTTCTTCATCATCTAAAAGACCATTTATTGCCTTCTGATCACTGTGCACGTCAATATCAGAATCCGAATTGCAATCAGACATCGTAGCGCATACGTCAGATTCTGAGGAACTACAGTAAGATGATTTTTTCTTTTCTTAGCCTTATTTTGTGCAGGTTTTAATTTTTCACTATCATTAATTTTTCTTTTTACAACTTTGACTCGTTTGCCATTCCTTTCCTTCTCTTCAGCTTCTACCCTATTCTTTTCTGGTGTACTAATATATATGCATGACTTTATTCTGCTTTGGTTGCAATGTAGGAAATGGTCGAATATCTACTAATTTTGCACGTTTAGGAGATTGTGCTACTCCTAGGTAAAAATCTTCGCTGAAAACATTTGTTAGCACCTCTTCCACTAAGTTCGTAATAAATTCCAGACTTTCATCTCCCTTAATAGGTATTTCGGGGGTTTGAGTAAGAGCTGAATTGTTCATAGCACTTATTTCAAAATCCTCAGAAGGTATTATTGGTGCAGGGTTATTTTCCAACTTGTAAACTTGTGGAAGCTCCATAGGTGAGCACTCCAGCAAAATCTGAATCGTCAAAATTAAGACTGTTTAATGGCCAGATGAATAACAAATGTTGAGGTACTCAGAAAGATGACAAAGGAAATGGAAATCATGAATACGATTAAGATAACAAAGTTACAGTATCTCGGCCATGTTATGAGAGGGGATAAAGATGTGTTGCTACAAACTATAATGCAAAGAAAAATACAGGGAAAACGAAGTATTGGACGAAGACTCATCTCCTGGCTCAACAATCTGAGAAAGTGGTATAATTGCAGTTCCGTCGACTTGTTCAGAGCTGCAATCTCAAAAGTGAAAATAGCTGTGATGATTACCAACCTCCTTAGAGGAGATGGTACCTAAAGAAGAAGAAGAAGAATGGCCAGATTTGCCAGAAAAAAACCTTTGTTATAATTATAGGAGTAATTGATAACAAATATGGCTGGGCTGTCAAACTTGCAATGTCGTAGATCCCTATTGCTTTGGGCTTTGATACAACTGCAAGGTTTGGCCGTTATTCGTATATAGATACAATTTTGCTTAACAGAGTTTTTAATTGTTTCAATAGATCGTTTTCAGGGCAGGGTATCCCAAAAAGTTCCAAGTTGAACGTTTCTGCTGCTACAACTTTACGTGTGTATTCGCTGTACTTATAATAGGTATTGTTCTGGAAAAAGTAAATAAACCCATTCGTGTATCGAAATGCTGATGTTATTGTACCCGGTATTCCTGGAGAGAGATCATTTACAGGTCCTCGGTTTAAGACATCTCCAGCTTGATTAAATCCAATGTAAATAAACTCACTGCACACACAAGATGCAACCGCTGGACATTCGAGTTTACGGCCCGCTCAAAGCTAGGTGCAAGTCATCCTTCAAGGACTTCGTCGATTAAGCTGATTTCTATTTTGTTTTTGTCAACTTATTTACACTGCTTATCTCATTTTGATGTAGATTTTAGAAAGCAGATCCTGGTGCAAACTAATATATGAAGCTTTTTTATATAGCACTATTTTGTCTACTATATTTGTTTTAACTTTTATTTGTTTGGAATGTAGTTGAGGAAAGTAAACAACAAAAGAAACACGTTTGCTCAATTACATATATATTCGAAAAAATAAAAATTCTAGAATAATTGTAAATAATCATTAAATAGGTACTTAAATAGATTCTTCTGCGTTAGTAATCACATTGTTTGCTTTTCACAGCTCACTTTTACTCCAAGGTCGTTCTTTTGTTGAAATTTCTTATCCGGCCATTGACTACTATCCAAATCATCCTCTTTTTCATTTATAAGTAAGGCCGTATCCGAAAAATCATCAGCAAACTCGCTGGTCAAAGATAATATCTGTTCGGATCCACCGTCGTAGCTGCTGTACATTTCAACTCCCGAATGGAGCATGATCATTACGGAAACAGTGTAAACACCCAAGTAAATAAAGGAAGTTATATCCGTAGTTTCGTTGAAACCCAGTCTGGAATATTTGGCTATCCAATCTTGGAAACCCATCGCCAACAGGTAAATGGCCATTGAGTTTGAGATTCTTTTGGTTTTTAGTATTAAGTACATCTGAGGGATTACTGCTACGCCTTTGAGGAACTGGCTAAAGGTGTATAGCAACTAAAACAGAAAGAGAATTTGATAATATTAAAAGAAATGTTACTGTTGCTACAATTTTCAATTAAAAGTAATTATATTACGAGAAGTCTAGGTGTGTAAAAGATTAGTGCTAAAATAGAAATAGAAGTACAATAGGTGAACACTTAATACTAAAGATGATTGAATGTAAAGTTCCTGGAAAAAATTGAAAGAAAAGAGCTCAAAAGCACATAATTAGTCCACACTTATTTGGGAGCTGAAGATAATTTAGTTGGCGAAGTCAGCTTAAGAATTTTATTAAAACCATTGAGGAAACAAGAAACAAAAGATCCACAATTTTCAAAAATAATTCAGGTCTTTGCTTCGTTCAAACATGTTTACGTAGCAATGATGTTGACAAAAAAAATTCAAATAAGCATAAGAGTGACCTTATAACTAAACCTGGTCAGTTCAGAGGACATATAACTACCACACCAGAGTCATCATTCTCCTAGCGAATATCTTGTACATTAAAATCACCAAACATAAAAATTGCTATTTGAGTACCTTCTCTGAGGATGCCAAGTGAATAACGATGCCAAGTAGAACATTATTTTAGAATCTGCAGGGTTCATTAATTTTAGACCTTATTCCACCATTATCGAAACAAAAAACTTGTTATGGGATTTATTACATCGTTCACTTCACTATTAGAGAATATTAACTTAAAAAGCCTTATTTTTTCTTGGCACAAATGCATTCAATTCATAAATTTTTTTAAGTTTAGGGGCAAAATCTTCACAAAATTTAAGAAATAGATCTACTTAAAGCTGCAATGGCACATACTTCACCACCAAACCAAAGAAAGCACTTAGGTTTCTTGGAGAATCCTTAAAAGTGATTAAAGAGTATGGGCCAAAAAATAAAAATGTGACGTATGTATATTTTTATATTTAAAATATTCTTTGGTTGGGAAGATTATGCGCTGATGCTATATTTATACTAAGACGATTGCGGTTCGTTTTAATTTGAGTCTTTTACACGTGTTTCTGGGTCTACCAGTCGTCAGAGAAAGTTTGTAAGAAGATAGGAAAATAATGGTGTTAGGGAGTGGTAAGGGACTCAAATTAAATCAAAACGCAATCATCTTCATATATTTATATGAAGATATGAATGGTGGTAATTTATATGGGTAAATCGTTGATGCATAGTGGAATATAAATATTCCCAGCATCGCTCTGAATGGCTTGATTAAGCTTGGGTATACAGTTTAATTTAATTGCTTTCAATACATTTAACTTGATGCTATATTTATAATGAGGCAAGTGCAAGAGAAATTATTAGAATGCAACAAAGCAGCATATCTATGTTACATGGACCTTGAATAATCAAAAATATCTATCAAATCAACACAATAAAAGTAAACATAGAAAAAGAACTAGCTGACCCAAATAAAGCTGGCAATTATATAAGATAGAGAGATTTCTTTAGTCCTCTATTTTTCAGCATGATCATGGATGAAATAATAAAAATAGTAAGAACTAAAAGAGGATACCAAATGGAAGAAAAACAATTTAACATAATCTCCTATGCAGATGACGCAATACTACTCTCTTAAAGTAAAGATCATTTACAAAGTCTGCTACACCATTTTAATATAACCACCAGAAAATTACATGACACCTTTAACTTGATATTTTAAGATCAACAAAAATCAAAAACAAACATGTATCTTGGAGATTAGGTTGCCTATGAATGTTTTAATACATAATCTATGTTCATTCCTCTTTTGGTTTACTGGAATCCCTCCCTGTATGGCATCCGAGGCTTATAACAGTTTTTAGAAGTATGACATTTTTGAAAAGTAGTAAGAAACGTTAAACTTGTAAACTATAACCTCTAGCTGTGAAAGATTTAGCTTGTAAATTCTTTTAAACTGTTGACCATACTCAATATTTTAAATAATCAGATAAATGAGAAAGACCAATAAAACAGTTGCAAATTAATCTTAAATTAAAATAACTTACATCCACTGTAAGCAAAGACTTGCTGGCCAGTATCGACGTAACTATTGCTGGTAAAATGACAAATTCGGACCAGAACGTATCATCTTCTCGGTTAACAGTCCTCGATGTAAATAAAAAAAGAAGAGTTCCTAAGGTAAACGCTATATGCGAGAATTGAAGCCAGTAGTAGATTGGTTCGTAATGCCCCAGTTGAATGACATACCAGCTCTTGGCTACTATTGACACTAGGAATAGCAGCTGAGTCTTAGCTGAAACACCTAAAATAAAAGTACATTTTGTAACAACTGAAGAAATTATGTTATACATGTCTATACGTGCACAATAATTATTTATTTCATATACATTTATGTCCCTATTCGCCAAGTAAGTTGGGTGAATTATTAGCAGAAAAATTGAACATTTTAAAAAAATTGGGGACCGGATCCAGTATTTGATTTCTTGTTAAAAAGGCTTCTTTTATACTGTCATATTTAACATGTTTATCATTTTGTAATGGGGTTTTTCGTAATTATCTAAAGATAGGTTAAGTGTTCCATTGTATAAAAAGGTAATATGAATCATGTTAATAACTATCTTCATACTAAAGTAGATAGGAAATGAAAAATTTAGATCAAATATGTCGGACAGCTGGATGGTTAGGTATGTGGAGTTATGGCCATAGAAGTACCCTTAAGGGGTGCAAATGGTTATATACAAGAAATATAAGTGTAGAAAAAAGCCTCCCTTGTCGTCAAAAAGGTCTTTTAGGGGTGAAAATGGTGAGGTAGAAAAATATGTGTTCGTTAAAATGAATAAAGCGTTGTGGCTCTGTAGATGTACAAAAAAGCCTCCCCTAACATTAGAAGGGCGAGAGTGTTCGTTAAAATGAAAAATATGAGTAAAAAGCTACCAGCAGGGCGTTACGTAGATATTTGGTATGAAAATATGGCGACAAAATATATCTAGGTGGAATAGAAGAAGATAGCGGTGAAAAGATGGTTAAAAAGCTACCAGTAGGGTGTTATGTAAATATTTGATAACAAAATATGGCTGGGTGGCGTGGGAGCCTCTGTAGATGTTCAAGAAAGCTCCCACTCACGTCAGAGGCATAAGAGTGTTTGTTAAAAAGCTATCAGTAGAGCGTTATGTATATATTTTGTAACAAAATATGGCTAGGTGGCGTTGGGGTCTCTGTAGATGTACAAGAAAGCCTCCCCTGTATTAAAGGAGTAAGAATGTTTGTTAAAATGGAATAGAAGAAGATAGCGGTGAAAAGATGATTAAAAGCTATTAAAAAGATGTGCAAGATTGGCCAGAGATATTAAGCGGAGGCAACTTCAAATTGTTAAAAAAAAACTCATTTCAAAAGCATTATCCACCGAAGAACTATTAAAAATCATCCAAAGCTACGACGAGGAAACCCCGATGGAGCACAACAAAATTTTTTTCACCTTTGGTCATTTGAACTTGCTTGGAGAGACAATGAGGCTGTAAGCTGCAACAAGATTCGCTTTTTTCAGAGGGAATTTGATCATTTTTGTTAAAATAAAAAAAGGACCACCAGAAGAACTTAAAAACCAACTTGAAGCTAAAATAAAAAATGTTAATTCAGAGCTATAGCCAGAAATAAGCAAATCAGAAATAAAGAAGGCATTGAAAGAAATGAAAAACAACAAATCGCCTGGAAAAGATGGAATAACTGCAGAGATGTTGAAATATGGTGGAAAAGTGGTAATTAATACTCAACATTCCCTTTTTAAAAAGATATTAAAAAAAAAAAAGAATCCCAAACAACTGGAAGGAATCCGTAACCATTATCCTACACAAGAAAGGGGATAAGGCAGATATATAAAAAAACTACAGTCCTATAACACTCCTCAATGTAAGGTAGTGATGAAGATGAGGATGAATAAAATGATGATAAATGAAGATGAATAGAAAGGGATTCAGCACAAGTAACCATTTACTAAGTTTGAAAATACTTATAGAACGAGCAAATGAATACCACATTTCTCTATATATAGCGTTCATAGATTTCTAAAAGGCTTTCGACAGTGTCGAACATTGGGCAGTGAAAATTTCTTTGATGAACGGCAGAATTTACCACAGATATACGGAACTAATAGCCAATATAGATAAGAAAGCCAAAATAACAATTAAAATATAAGAAAGAACAAAATCAATACAAATAAATAGAGGCGAGAGACAGGGTGACACAATATCACCGAAACTTTTCAATCAGGCTCTGGAAGATTTTTTTAAAAGATTAGAATGGGAAGAAAACGGTATAAAAATTTGTAGATAACGTTAGAACCATCTAAGGTACGCTGAATTGATGAAAAAACTGGAAGTAGAAGCTGGAAAGATAGGCCTTAATATGAATTACAGCAAGACCAAAATCATAACAAATACAGATGAAGACATCACAATGAAGATCGGACAAGATAAAATAGAGCAAGTTCAGGATTATATATATTTGGGTCAAACTATAAAACGTAACAAAGACAATTAAACAACAGAGATAAAAAGACGAGTTAGACTAACATGGGCGGCATTTGGCAAACTAAGCTACATTCTTAAAAACAAAAGATATCCACAGCATCTTAAGACCAAAGTATACAATCAATGCGTACTCCCTGTTCTCACCTATGATACCCAAACGAGGGCATTTACAAAAGCAAACATGGACAAAATCATCAAAACCCAAAGAGCAATGGAAAGACAAATGTTGCACATAAGACTAATGATAAAAAGAGAAACTAGTGTATAAGAGAGAAAACAAAAATTAGGGATACTAGACAAGAAGTTGCAAAATTGAAATGGAGATTTGCCGGACACAATATAAGACAAAACGAAGACCGATGGAGCAAAATTCGTATGTTGGAGACCGTGGGAATATAAACGAAGCAGAGGAAGGCCCCAAATGAGATCGACAGATGATATCAAGAAGTACGTGGGCTCTAGGTGGATGACTGTAGCGATCGACAGAGAAGAATGGAAAATTATTGAGGAGGCTTATATCCAAAGATGGACCGAAGAAGGCTAATTAGATAGATAGATAGATAGATAGATAGAAATGAAAAGAAAAAAGAATGGGCAAACTATATACCTTAGGTATAATAATTGTACATTTAATATTGTTAACAGATAAATAAAGATTATGTTTCGTTGATATGGTGCATTAATTGTCTCGTGAAATAGTCTTGTAGAGACAAAATTATTTACCAGCAAAATTTTCTTCTGGTTTTATTCAAGTTTGTTGCCTTTTGGCAATTTTCGCTAATGAAATTTTGACAAAATTATTTGACGTCTCGTGATTTAACTGTCAAAATTTAATTCGCGAAAATTACCAGACAACAAACTTTTATATCAGTCGAAAATATTGCCACCAAAATTTTCTCTTATGATATTATATACGAATATAATAATGCCATAAATGTGATCTTTTATTTAAAAATAAAATTCACCATTACTTCCTTCTTAACACGCCTATGATGTGCTTAATCACTATCTAATATCAAGGTCCGCGTTCCGCGAAATGAATAACAAAATGAAAATGTTGCTTAACTCATAACCTCAATTTTCTGCTGACATTAGCTTAGCTTATAATAAACATATGGTATCAAGTAATAAATTGATTTTAAAGCACTCAAAGGATACTAAAATAATTAAGTTAGTAACTTACCTAGCGATCCTTTATTAAAATATAAACTAAAGAACAAAAACGACAGTGCGAAAGTATGGATACCTTCGCCTATAGCAACAAAATCCACGTTCATTTTTAAAATAGACTAACAATAAATGAAAATATACAAAAGGTACTATTTTTACCACACTAATATACCACAACACTTTACATTGTACTTTTTGTTGAAGTTTTCTTGCAGTGCAACTGTTAATTGTTGAAGGCTGTGTAGTAAATTGGAAATCCCATCAAGATCAAACAAACGTCAAGCCCCCGCCATTTCAGCAACAAAATGGCGACCAATGGCGTATCTAACGTAAGGCAATAGAAATAAATTTTCTTTTTTGTGGAGCTGTTGTGTGCAGTATGAGACAAATGTTTTGTTGTTCTTTTTTATATTTCATTAATAACATAAAATTTTAAAACAGTCAGATCACTTGTTCTTCAGTGGTTTGTCAATCTTCTTCCTAGCTATCATTTTCTTTCACTGTTTCTTGTTTTAATACTTCTGTGGAGTTTCATCTGCTATTTGTGTTGCAATTTAAGATTTGTTTAACATTTTTTGTGTTTCATAAAAGAATTTATAATAATATACAATACATAAACAAAATTAGGCAGTGAGAATAGGATTTTTTCTCCTATTCTCCTAATCTCTTTACTTTTTACTTAACATTAACTGTAGATATTCCAACCACCAGAATCACAATAATTGCAATTTTTGTGGATGATTATCTAAAGGCTGATTTGAATAGTCCAGTTTACATCGATGTACAAACAAGAATACAGCTCTTCTCCGTCCAGTGAAGAACTACTTAGAATTGAAAAGAACCTGCTCCTATAGGAAATCGACTCCTATAGGAAATGCTCCTATAGGAAATCGAAATATTTAAATCGACTCAACTGGTCTGCTCATATCTCACACCTTAAGAAACAGCTATCCAGTTTATTATTTGTTATTCGCCAACTAGCAAGGGTTGTCAACTTTGAAACATTAAAAATGACATATTTTTCTTTATTCCACTCTCACCTAAACTATGGTTTAATTATATGGGACAATTCAACAAATGCACTTCAAATTTTTAGAATACAAAAGAAAGCTGTCAGGATTTTAGCAGGGGTTAGTTATCTAGAACACTGCCGACCTTTCTTTGTCAAATTCAAAATTATGCCGCTACCTACTCTGTTGATATTTCAAGTTTTAACTCAAATTCACAGAAAACGTGCCCATTTAATAAAGCAGTCTGATGTCCATGTTCACAATACGCGAAACTGTCACTACCTACGAACAAATCGCTGTAGATTAAGTCTTTCAGAAAAAAATAGTCTTAATTATAACTATTACAATATTTTACCAAAAAGTATAAAAGAGCTAAGCTGTAATAGTTTCGATAAAGTTATAAAAAACTATCTTTTAAAACATTGTTTTTACTGCTCAGAAGAATATATGACTCATTGCAAAACATCCACTGAACTGCTTACCGTAACTTCGCCATAAATATTTTTCTGTTTAATATGTTTTTATGATTGTATTATTTAATGTTTTATCATTTAATACTATGTATGTTTTTTTTTGACTTGCTACAAACAATATTTGTATATGTTATGTAGTTAAATAAATACTCTACTCTACTCTACTCTAGGAATATATTGTCTGCTCAATCAGTATTACACCTATTTTTCTTTGATTTTATAATTTTTTAGCTTGCCTGTATCTAAATTTTGTGTTTTTTGTTACAGTTAGCGCAGAAAAGGCAGAATCAGAAGAAGAGGAAGGTATAGAACCAGAGACAGAGAGTTCAGATGATATAGAAGACTGTGAAAAGAGAACAATAAAATTTAAGCCTTTTGGGGGTCCACTTTTAGCTCAAACGTAAGTATTTTTCATTATTAATATATAACGAGTTTGAGCAAGAGCTTTGCTACGGCTTTGATGAATTGAGACGGCAGATAGATAAAAATAAACGGCGAAAGGAGCACAATTCGTCAACTTTCCGTATATGAATTGATATCAATAGACTGTCATAATGTTATTTTTAATATCACATATAAGCGCCACCTATTTTGGTAGCCTTAAACGAAAACGACTATAGTTTTCTGTCTTTTTGAGCCGTACGAAATGTGCCAATTTGAAGAATGAATTCATGTAGTTTTGACAGTATTACCAACTCCTTAAAATACTCTTAAGTTCAAGATTAATTCTTTTGTCGTGAACTTTTTCAATATTTTAACATTTATTGTGGCTGAGCACAAGACCAAGGACAGAAATCCAGTTAAGCTTGCGAACATATGCGATCGTATTTCAGGTAGAAGTTGTCACTATACGTAAAATAATATATAAAGGTGTGCTGTGTGTAGAACTAATATGTTGTCAAGTGGAGAATGGCTAAAACGTGATCTTCGTCTATCGTAAAGCAGCTTTAAAAGCCCTTAGCCCTAAGCAGGTTGATTCAAAACTTTTGAGTACCCTTTCTCGGGTAGAAAGTCGAAATTCATTGACACTAGCTTGGGCTTCAGGGCACAAAAGCCACAAATGCAATGAGAAGGATAATAAGCTGGACCGAGAAGGCGTTTGTGCGCCGTTAATTGGCATAGAGCCCTGTTTTGGAGTTGCGAACACAGAGTAATAGCAGCCGTGAATAAATGTGTGTTAGAAAAGTGTTTGGAATGACGAAGATATGCACGAGGACAAATGTAGTCTAAAAAGTTCGTTAAGCAACATTCAGCCAAATTCATAGACAACTTACTGACCCACTATCGAAAGTCTGTCATGGTGATAGAAGGCATGACGTCTGGGCACTTTTCGTTCAATAAGCATTTGAGTCGTATGGAGAGGATTTTTGATGGTTATGTCTAGAAGAAGAGGAAACCGCTCTGCATATCTTATATCTGCCTTTGTTAAATTTTATTATTTTGGACTTCTGGGGGCTTATTCTAAGCCCTTCTCAATTCTATCACCATAACCAAACATTGTTGCAATGTATTTCTAACTCTATAATTAATGTCAAGGTGAACAGATCATCCACATAGCTCAGGATATATTGTATATCGTTGCTAAGTCTACCTTTCAACCCATCCTATCAATTTTATCCTAGTAACTTCTTTTTAACCCTTTTGTGGTTTTCAATAGGGTGTAATTATTAGGGGAAAACAGTAATTCATGTTAAACAATAGAAATAAATTCAAAACTTGCTCAAAAATGGTTTAGCCCTCAATGTTTCAAATATAATTACAATTTAGTTAATAATGGCTATTTTTTCTTGTCTAGGGAAATTTCTACAAGTCAACAAGACTTTTTCAAGATGCTGGATGATAAAATTCAAAATGTAAGTATAAATAACTATATATTCGCTGTGAGCCGATGAGTAGAGGGGATTTGACAGTTTTCACCAACGCTGTTAGTGGCAGTTTTGTGCATTTAACTTGTAAACATTCAAATAATGGCGAATATGGATTTTTCAAAAAGAAAAATATATGATACATGTAAAAATACTGAGTACAACAGTCATTGTAAATTTTATTCATTTCCTGTTGCCAAGCATAAAATAGTTCAAAGAGAAAAATGGATTATTGCTATCAACGAGAAAAATAAGTAAATAACCTATAATGCAAACATGATATTTGTATGGTGTAAAATTAAAAAGCTATTATATTCCGAAACATTGCGTACATGCCCTGCATCAACTAAACCTTTTCCCTTTTTTGGTGTAGCTGGTTGAAATGGGATATCATGTGATATAGACTTAAAACCAGTATAATGTTTAATATCCATTTTGATAAAATTAAAACAAATTTAAGAGGTGGAGGCCATAAAACGAAAGAAGAAGAAGAAGAATTAAAACAAATTGATATCTAAGCACTAAGGCCTACGCACACAAAAAATAGCTGAGCAAAAACAGAATAAAAATGTAAAATAAAAACAAGAATTACAACGTTACAGAGGTAAAGGTAACCAGAATATAGACGTTTTAAGCGTCTATAACCTTAAATATTTGCTTTAACCATTAAATATTTTCATATAAACTTCTTCTTTTTTTCAATGACCTCTTGCGTAAGTAGTCATCCAGTCGCAAGAACTTATATCTTAAATATTATAATTATAATGAATAAAATAACAAGGCGTAATTACTTTTACTATCAATTCTGTGTATTCGTTCATTAATCAGTTTACCATAATATTTCAGTTCAATATTTTGTATTTTTAAATAAATATCTATTTTTCTCGTTTTGTCATATTTCATTTACACTGATTTTACAAGAAAAGTACAAGTTTCAAACCGCGAGAGAGCGCTACCGGCGAAACTCACAGCGAATAAGTAACTTTTGAATCATACAACTGCATTCATAAATCCTATTATTGGTTACTTTCTTTACAATTTATACGATTTTTCATATATTTTCTTCTTTTATATATACTTTCTTTTTTTACAATATCCATATTGTAACACATCAAACAATGGACAGTGTTTGAAGCACACAACCGACACCGTGTTTCTTTAGATCATTCTTACTAGCACAGAAAACAAAAGAAAAATACTCACTAGAACTAAACAGGAAATATGAGAGAAACAATACAAAGAAACATTATAAATAATTTGACAAGAGGGCGCAACTTTCTTGAGTAACAAAGAAAAATCAAAACCAAAATAATTGAACAAACAAACACCTACCTTGTATATTGGCTTAGCAAATCCGTTAGTAATTATTTATAAGTGGTTAAAAAAAGGATTGTTAGCGAATTCAAAAATACAATGTTGTCATATGTTTTATATGTCAATGTTATAATTCCAAAAAAATCTTATGCAAAGTTGCTTGCGTAAAATAATTACATATAAAAAGCTCAGAAATTACGATGTTATCTCCTTTTACTTATAACAAAATTGGGGCTGAAAGGGTTAAAAACAATTGGAAAATTATAATTTACCTTTGTCATATGATATGTATTTAGAACATTTCTCTTTATTACTATCTTTCTCTTATACAATTTTGGTGTTGTATAGCAAACAATAGTGGTCAAAACATGAATAAAATTTAAGGATGTACCCCTTTAAAAAGCACTAACACTGCACTGCACTGTATATATGTAGTAGAAAAATATAAATAATAAAATAGGTAAAGAAATAATAAATAAGACTTACTCACAATCAATTTAATTTAACTATCAGACTACCGGTTTCGCTTTCTACAATATGCAAAGCATCCTCAGGTCTCGATACAAAGTTAAACAAATGATGCCGGTACTCTATTAATTGATGGATGGTAGAACATGGTTGAAACTACTATGTATTGTTGAATGGAGAATTCAATTCTATTATTGCA